AGTTGAGCTGGAACATTCTTGTCTCTCCTTCACTCCACAACCTTGGATGGGTGAGAGGTTTGATGTATCCTTCTTCTACAGCATTCCATGCTCCCATGTCACTTGCTTGAATGAATTACATCATTCTATTCTTCCAATAGGCATAGTTAGCTCCATTGAAGAAAGGAGGCTTGTTGACGGGCATCGAATCGAGACTGGAGTCGAAGTTTGAAGCGGAGGCCATTGATGACTTTAATAATCTATATAACTCTTCCCAAATCGACTCAAGAGGCGATCTAATCTTGAATGAATTTCTAAGTGGGAGAGACCATCTTCAAATTTCACTATACACCTCAAGGTTAATGTTTTTACTAGAAAAAGAGTTTTCTAAAATCTTTAATGCATGATAGAGAAAAATAAGGAAAAAAATAAAAAAGGAGGGTTCAAGATGAAAACTTGCAAAAGGCATCTTCGAACCAAAGGAGGTTTCCAGTTGAAAACCCAAAAAAATGGCTCGAATATGAAGATTGAGCAACTGTTGCATAAAAATGATCTTATAAAGCACCACACATCCCAATGGTACTCACGAGAACTTGGAACCAGTAAATGTTTCCAAAAGATAAATATCGTGACTGTTTTATAAATATAAACATCAAAAGAAGCCAACTCAAAACACTATACCTTTCCAAAATCAGCCTAAGCCTCAAAATTACCACTAGTCTTGACGCTTGTCAAAGCACTATAATCTTAATTGGCTAAAAGTGCAGATGATTTGTTTGATATTCAACGAACTCTTGTTTTATGATTTGTTTCAATTGTGAACCCAAAGAGAGGGGCATCATTTTGTTGTCATAAAGTTTTTCTATGAAATTTTTTATATTTAAAAAATGAAAGAGGACGAAAAACATTTTCAAACAAAACAAATCCCTCCTAGAAATTGGTGATGTGTCTTTGATAATAGACTCTCTGACCTGAAATCTCTGAATCAGAAACTAGTGGAAAGAAAACTGAACCTTGCGAGTAAAATTTGTTTGGGGAAAGAAGAGCCTGTTACTGTGATCTGAAAATTTGATTATACCCACCGGTGTGAAAAAGGACGAAGAAGATTCAATCACGACAAGAACGAGGACTTCGTGAGCATCCATTTATGGCCATCGATCAATAAAACATACATCAACATCATTGACCTACATTTCGAATGAATTTGCATTTTTGCGTCAGACATTCATTTTTACTTTTAAGGCGTACAACATAAAAAGCTTTGATTCCCCTCTCGTGAGGATGTCTTTAAAATCCTTTATGATAAACCAATTTTATTTTTCTAAAGATTGTTTCCCTAGAAACTTCAATCTTAACTTTTTTAGGACATGTCTCCTAGAAAGCTCAATTTGGTCTTTCTAACGATTGTTTCCCAAAACTTTAGTCTTGTCTTCCTTAAGACAGTTTCTGTAGAAACCAACTTCGTCTATTTAGGATTATTTCCTTGAAAATCCTAACTTCGTCTTTGTTAAAGACCTTTTCACCTCTCATGAGAAGATTTCTAGAATATTCCCTTTTATTAAGGATGGTTTTTCCCTCTCACGAGTGTTTTTCTTAGATTATGCTTGAATCGCATTACTGCATTCCTAAAAACATTATTTTCATACATAGACAATTACATTGCACATTCAAGATAAACATTTTATATATTTTCAAGAAAATTGAATATTTAGGAAAATAAAACCTTGAAAAGAGAAAGTAAAATTTAAAGATAGAGGATATCAAGTTCAAAATTGCATAATCTCAAGAATAGAGGAGCCCAATTTACGAAAAAAAATCTTTACTTTGAAGTAAGGCATGTTACCCGACCACTAACATGTTTTTATATGATATTTGTAAAAAATGATAAAGCGATTTTCAAAGTTTCTCATTTAAGATTTCCAGAAAATGAAATTTTTGAAAAGTAAGAAAGCGATTTCGAAAGTTTCTTATCAAGTAGACTATTTCCAAATTTGGTTCAACATTTGAGAGATTGAGGCAAATCGAATGAGAAGATTGTTGGATACAAAGAAGAAAATTATTCGATTAAAACTTAGACTGCCAAAACAATAAAAGATTGAAGAAGGATGTTGGTGCCAAAACTGGAGTTGCAAGCAAGTAAGACGAAATTAGGCCATTAGATGTCTTTGCTACATTCTTGTTTCACAACAACAAGCAAATAGGGGCTGTTATAATACCTTAATTTTTTCTAAGTGCTTTAATCAAATTTGGATAAAGTTGAAAATCAAATTGATTTGGTTTGACCAAAGAATAGATTGTTGGGCTTTCGTTTATACGAGTAGATGAACTTCAAATTGGACCTTGTTGCCTATGTGAAAAATAAAAGAATGCCATAATCAATCAAACAAATAACCAAACAGTCCAATTGCAAACCATTATGAGTACTTGAAATCTATACATACAAAAACCCAATTGCTAAACTACAAACCCTAAACTAAAGGCCCACATAGCCCAAAGCATTAACCAAAAAAATATACCCTAACATATTGAGAAGTTGTAGCCGCCAACGCCACCTCTGCGTTGTTAGATTTAATTGTAACCACTAAGCAGTTGTCCCAAACCTTCCCAGTAGCACTGGGTCCCTCCAATGACAGCAAGCTTCCGCACAAGGTGGTCTCGAGTACTTCAGCAATAACATCCACTGGTCCCCTTCTCTCTCCTCTTCCATGACAATTACTAGCACAAACCAGCTCATTTCAACTTTCTCTAACTATATATATATCTACATCCATCGTGCACATACAAACAAAAGCAAAAAAAATATAAGATATTTATTTTTCATTTAGCCCATAGAGCCCAAACCATTAAAAAAAATTAACCCTAACTTATTGAGAAGTTATAACCGCCAATGCCACCCCTGCCTCGTCATCTTCAATCGTGACCACCAAGTAGTGGTCCAAGCCTTCCCGACATCACCGTGATTCCTCCAACGACAGAAAGCTTCCATGGCAAGTGGTCCTGAGTGCTTTAGGAGCAACATGCACTGGTCCTCCTGCTCTCTCATCCTCAACGATAATTGCCAGCACAAACCAGCCCCCTTCGATTACTTCATTAACATCCATCGTGTACATACAAACAAAGCAAAAAAGATGAGATTTTATTTTCATTGGTTACCACTATAAATGTGTTATTATAAAACCCCAAAAAAGGATGTAAAAAAGTCATTTTCCCCTTTTGAAAAAAAAAGAACAAATGTAATGTTGATATCACTTCCATTAAGCTTATGGGGTTAAAGAGGTTTATTCGATCTCAAGTGAGTAGAGTTGTCAAAGCTTATTGTTGAGTCGGATTGTTGCAATTTTGTTACTTAAACCCATCTGTAATACCAATTTTGTCCGAGTTCTTTAATCAAACTTGGATAAATTTGAAGATCAAATTGGTTTTATTTGGGCAAAGAATAGATTGTTGGGCTTTCGTTTATTCGAGTACATGAACTTCAATATGTACCTTTTTGCCTTTGTGAAAAAGAAAAGAATGCCACGAATCAATCAAACAAATAACCAAATAGTCCAATTACAAACCATTACTAGTACTTCAAATCTATCCATACAATACCTTAATTGCCAAATTATAAACCCTAAATCAAATGGCCCACATAGCCCAAAGTATTAACAAAACAAATCTAAACCCAAACATATGGAGAAGTTGTAGCTGCCAGCGCCACCCCTGCCTCGTCAGCTTCAACCGTGGCTACCAAGCAGTGGACCCAAGCCTTCCCAACAACACCATAGTCCCTCATTTGACAACAAATTTTCACGTAAGGTGGTCCCGAGTTCTTCATCAGTAATATGCATTGGTCCCCCCCCCCCCCGCTCTCTCGTCCTCCACGACAACTATCAGCACAGACGAGCCCTCTTCGATTACTCTATCAGCATCCATCGTGCACATACAAACAAAAGAAAAAAAGTTGATGTTAGGATTTTCGGAAGCTCGAAACGACAACCGGAACGATTTGTAAAGAGGGGTCGGAACGGTTTTGTGTTTAGGGAGTAAGAAGATTGAAAGATAGAGAATTGCACAGCGATTTATAGTGGTTCGACTTTCTCAATCAAAGTCTACGTCCACTACCTTAGCTCCTCACCAAGGATTTTCCAACAAATTCACTAATTTGTTCTTTCTTTTGAGGACAAAGAGATAACCTTACAACTCCCTAGTTTTTCCGGGCTAAACTAGAACCTTTCCCTAGCTTTTACACAGGCTAAGCTAGAACCTTTCCCCTTTACAAAAGGATAAAAGATGTAAACAATAAAACCTCTCTAAGGTAGGTGTTTACAAGAATTAAGCTCAAAAGAACAAAATATTTACAAGAGAAAGATGAAATAAGAATGAAAAACTCTTCTCTTGTGTTTGATTGCTTGGATAGTTGTTCTCTTACTTCTTCAAGTGTCCTTAGCTTGTATTTATAGCTTGGAATGTGTTTGAAGTCATATCTAGCCGTTGGGGATGTTTTGGAGCCGTTTGGGAATGATTTTTCTGCAAAAATAGGCTACCCAGAATGGGGGGAATCGGTACCCCTTTCATAGGGAATCGATACCCCTTCATAATATTCAAATATTATGACCGTTGGGCTGATGAACAGTGAGGGAATCGGTACCCCCTTGGGGGGAATCGGTTCCCCTTTTACATACTGGAATTTTTTAGCCTCGGGTTACTGTTCAAACAGTGATTTACTGTTCATAAAACATTTTTGTGCTCAATTTTAAATTAAAAGAACTTTGAATTATTTTTGTAAATTTTGAATAAATTCAATTAAGTCCAAATACATTTTGTAAATTCAATTCAAGTCCAAAAACCATTTTGCCTTAAATTGTTATATCGAAACATAGTTCAACAATCTCCCCCTTTTTGATATAACAAAAATTTGAAAAAATTGTTTTGGCAAAAACTCCCCTTAATAAAATGTTTAATGAAAAGATACTAACTGTTGGAAAACATATGAAAATGTTAAGCTCCCCCTTTTTCATTAAGAAATTGAATTTTTCAAACTAAACTTCTCCCCCTTTTTGTTATATCAAAAATAATTCGATCTTTGAAGTTTAAAATAACTTTGGAGAGTAAGTAGTAAATTTTACATTTAAAAATCATTTGAAAAATCAAAGCTCCCCCTCAATAAATGTATTCAAAACAAAATTAAGCTTTTAAGATCTTGACACTTAAACAAAATATTGAATTTCTAAAAAGAATAACAAACATGTTTGTAGCACATGAAATTCAATATATCCAAGTCTAAAATACTTTATGCAATACCAATTGTCGAAATTTGATATTAATACCAATTGCTAAAATTAAGTGCATTTGCATAAAGTTTTCCAAAATGTTATGCAATTTTAAAAATTTGATATCAATTGCTAGAGATATCATTTTCATTTAGACCACATGCATAAACATTCAAATTTAGGCCAAAAATTAAAATTTATAAAATCAAAGTATTTTGAAATTTGATATCAATTGTTAGAGAGATATCATTAGCATTTAAAACCAATTTGACCAAAATTCATTATGATGAACTAAAAATTCTCAAAAATAAATGTTCATCATAATCATCTTTTCAATATACATGAGATTAAAACAATGATGCATAATCATTTAAAACCAAAACTCATGCATGTTTAAAATCAATGAGCAACCAATAACCTAAATTAAAAGCATTAAGCTTAGAGGTTACCCATTCATTTTTCATGTGTGGCTAGAGCATCTTGAATCATCACTCACATCATCATTGCTCCCACACACCTACAAGAGACATTTAAGTAATTTTGGTATCCAAATTGTTTTGGATCCTTGGACGTTAGTTCAATGCCCTTGTTCCTTTCGGAACCCATACTTGCTAATTTTAAAATGTTTCCTTTCTTCAAAGGACAAGTATGTTCCAAATGACCATGATAATGACAATGTGAGCATATTGTCATTATTGAACTAAATGAATTATTTAAAATGATTTCTTTTTCTTTGTTAAGCATTCAAGCTTAACTTTTAAATCAAAATTTTGTTTTTCAAAACTATCAATTTTTATTTTTGAAAGCTCTAAATCCTTTTCAAAATTTCATTTTGGCTTTCAAAATCTATTTTTGTTTTCAAAGAAAATCGTTTTCAATTTAAATTTTGAAATCATTTTCTTATATTTGGAGTTCATGGTCTCAAACTCCGAATATAACCTATTAAAAGCATCTTGTAACTCATCAAATGTATATGAATTAAGTTCATTTGAGTTAGAAGATACCTCGGGCTCTTCATAAGCCATTAGAGACACCACCTTTGTTGGTTCTTCTTTCTTGTTTCCATGGATTTCCTCGAACTTATTCCAAAGCTCCTTGGCACTTGAACATGAAGAAACCCCTTCATAGATTTCAGGACCAAATGCACAAAACAACATGTGCATGGCCTTGGCATTAAGTTGAGCTTTCTTCCGTTCTTTGTCACTCTGCTTCTTCTCCTTCTTCTTTGGAGAAGAGTAGCCATTCTCGATTATCTCCCATACATCAAGATCATTGGATTGGATGAATACCTTCATTAATTTCTTCCAATGATGATAGTTGTCTCCATTGAAGTATGGAGGCTTGTCCGTTGGTAGGGAGTCTTCCATGTGGAACGAGCCGGAGGTGGAAGCCATCTTCTCGGTTGAGTCGGGAATTGGTAGAGCTTCTTCTAGGATCGTCTCAAGGTGGTTAAACCTTCTTAATGAGTTAGGCTCTGATGCCAATTGTTAGGATTTTCGGAAGCTCGAAACGACAACCGGAACGATTTGTAAAGAGGGGTCGGAACGGTTTTGTGTTTAGGGAGTAAGAAGATTGAAAGATAGAGAATTGCACAGCGATTTATAATGGTTCGACTTTCTCAATCAAAGTCTACGTCCACTACCTTAGCTCCTCACCAAGGATTTTCCAACAAATTCACTAATTTTTTATTTCTTTTGAGGACAAAGAGATAACCTTACAACTCCCTAGTTTTTCCGGGCTAAACTAGAACCTTTCCCTAGCTTTTACACGGGCTAAGCTAGAACCTTTCCCCTTTACAAAAGGATAAAAGATGTAAACAATAAAACCTCTCTAAGGTAGGTGTTTACAAGAATTAAGCTTAAAAGAACAAAATATTTACAAGAGAAAGATGAAATAAGAATGAAAAACTCTTCTCTTGTGTTTGATTGCTTGGATAGTTGTTCTCTTACTTCTTCAAGTGTCCTTAGCTTGTATTTATAGCTTGGAATGTGTTTGAAGTCATATCTAGCCGTTGGGGATGTTTTGGAGCCGTTTGGGAATGATTTTTCTGCAAAAATAGGCTACCCAGAATGGGGGGAATCGGTACCCCTTCATAGGGAATCGATACCCCTTCATAATATTCAAATATTATGATCGTTGGGCTGATGAACAGTGAGGGAATCGGTACCCCCTTGGGGGAATCGGTTCCCCTTTTACATACTGCAATTTTAAATTAAAAGAACTTTGAATTATTTTTGTAAATTTTGAATAAATTCAATTAAGTCCAAATACATTTTGTAAATTCAATTCAAGTCCAAAAACCATTTTGCCTTAAATTGTTATATCGAAACATAGTTCAACATATGAGATTTTTATTTTTCATTTGGTAACCAATGTAAATGGGTTCTTATAAAACCCCAAAAAAAGGATGTAAAAAAGATCCTCATTCCCCCATTCGAAAAAAAAGAACGAATGTAATTTTCTTCCTCGATTCGAAAAGAAAGGAAAGCAATACATTTTTTAAGGTATTTTACCTTACTCTTTTTTATTTTCGGTACCAATTTATTTGGGTTTTAGAACCAAAGTAGAATAATAAGAAATGAGAGGGGTATAATTGCTTGCCGGGGTTGCTCGAACTCCTCGTCGGAACTAAGGCCAGTGGAGGGGAGAAAGTCGAAGCCTTTAAGTCTTTATGGGTCGATTTACTATCTTGGGGTTCAATTTTTATCTATAGAAGAAGGTGAAAAGTTGGGATCTTTTTGGGGTAGTGTTGGTGTGCTCAGTGGCCATGGTGGTGGTCAGAGGTTCGTTTTTCGCCTCAAAATACGGTGGCTAACCATGGGCTTTGGGAGCTCTCGGTCAAGAGAGAAAAGAAAGGGTTGGGAGAAGTTAAAAAGGTAATGATAAGGTACTTGTTTAGGCTTGTTTGTCCGCCTATAAAGGTGGTTGGAAGGGAGGAAACCACCACCGATGTATGGTGGTTGGAGTGTGGCAATAGGGCTGTGTTGGGGAGCGGCAGTTGTAGGAGGAGAGGGAAAGTTGAGAAAGCTTTGTGTGTTTATTTAGTTCAGGTTTAATTTTTTTAACCTAAATGCCAATATTAACATAAATATTTAGGAGTTTAGGTCTAATCGTATAGTAGTCCCTACATATTTAGCGCATATTAACATTTTGTTCATCATTTCATTATTTTTTATTTTATTTTATTTCGACCTACTATTTTTATTTTATTTCAATTTGGTCACTTATTTATGTTATTTTATTTTGAATTAATCTGTTACATTTTATTTTTATTACATTTCAGTCCCATTTATTAAATATTGTTATTAAACGTTTAATACGGGCTTGCGGTGAGCCGCACCGAGGTACAACCCGCATTATTATGGCTCGGGTAAAATTTTAACTTTTTTACTAACTTCTAACTTTTAACTTACTAATTTCTAAAAAAATATTCGAACTAATTTACAACCTCACAAGGACCCATCCTAGGGTATGAATCGTGCTATTTATGGTATGCGTAAAATTCTAAAAATTAACCCTCTACCTTTTATTTTGTGCAATTTTATATTTATGTTGATTTAATTTCAGCACTGCAATTTTCTGTTCTTTTAATTCATGCACTTCATTTTTCTTTTTTTCTTTTAATCCTTCAATCTTTTATTTCCAGGTTTTAATTTTCTGTAATTTATTATCGGTCCCTTTATTTTTTTATGCATTTTATTATAATCCCATGATTACTTGGTGGCCATTGTTGTGTGTTCCGATATATTTAGCATTATATCTTTATATCTATCATTTTAGTTCTATATATGGATGGTTTATTTAGATTTTAATATGTGTATTTAGCGTTCTTTATCTATTTTCCTGTCTCTTTCCCGTGTTTAAATGTGCGATTTAACTTAATGTTTTTTTTTTAAATTTATTAGTATTCAATTTTTATATGATTTCATCCATTACGATTTAGTCCATCATAATTCGTGTAGCATATGTGCAAATATTATCATGTACACTCGTATATATTATTGTTTTGATAAAAGTAATATGTACAGTATGATTATTTTTTGTCATAGATTATATTCTTAATAAAAGTAATAATATTTTGTGAGGATAATTAATGAAAACAAGTTTTGACTGACAAGGAATGTGTTTCTAAAGATTGTCTGTACAAAATGTTATTCGTTTGTATTTGAGTTTTTTATTTTATCAAATGTATGTATTTTATGATTAAAAAATACGGCAATATTATTACGTATGAGGAATCTATAGAAACATGCCTTTACTGACAAGAAGTGTGTTTTTCGAGGATTGTTCGTACAAAATAATATATTTTTTAAAATTTCTCAAAAACATATCGTAATTTAAATACATATTCGAATTTGCAATTTTCATTATTTAGATGACGTATAATCGCTTAAGTACCAATTTTGGGCACTGTGAATGTGCTCATCCTTCACCACGCGTAATCAACTTCGAACCCTTTTCAAAACGAGTTTCTGGTTAAACGCAAACCGTTTTTTCTTTTAAAATTATTTTTCCTAAAATTGTTTTACAGGATATTTTTAGGTGTTCTACCTACCTAACGCAAAGGTTGACGGCGAGTCCAAATATATTTGTTTTTCTCAGACCTGATCTTTTCCAAAATTAAGTTGTTTTCTCTTTTAAAAGTATTATTTATAAATGTCTCTCTAATTGTACGAATTAGAATTGGAAGATTGTTTTGATCGTTGGATATCATAATAATTTATGGATTACGTCGCAAAAGTTGGAATTATATATAAAGGGTGTCAAGTTTAGGTTGTTCATAGTTGGGTTGTGTATTGGTGTGTCTTAAACAATGATTGTTGTGTTCCTTCGGTTTGAGTTCGATCTTAGTTTAAATTGTTGACATTTTTCTTTTTAATAGTATATTATGAGAACTCTTTTCCTTATACCAATGTTTGAGATAGTGCCTTTGCCAAAGCTAGGCCATATAATCTAACCATGAGAAAATTTCAGACTCGTCTTTTAAAGATTGTTTCGTTCTGAAACAACTATAATGTCCATATAGCCTCACCATGAATATAAATACAAATAATTAATTTGCATATAATATGATATAAAATAAATCTCGAGGATACTTATATTAATAATTATTTTAATAAATACACTTGAAAATATTACAATGAAAAGATTGAAACAATATAAGAGGCACTTAAGGTGACATTTCTATCAAGTAGTGCCGTCGAATAAAGACACTTTGACCCATGCAATTAATAAAATAACAAGAATTAGTTGATGTTGAGATTGTCATCAATTTGCCCTCCTGCAGTTGATACGAATCTGTCCTTGTTTTCCGGTTAAAGGCTTAATGTTTCCCATCCTAATCATAGACTTCGCAAAATCATTCCAGAAAGCATCAGGGTTCAAGCTGTAAGTCTTTACAAGTTTATCGGTGGAGCCGCCATTGAAAAGAGCCTGATCTGAGGTGAGTAGTCCCCTTTGCTTCACTAGGTTGCTGAAGTATGCAGTGTCAAACTTGGCAGGTGTAGAATCGAAAGGAGCGAGATTAGTGTTCCCTCCGGTGCGTGGGCAAGTGGCTCTACGCTGTTTGGCAAAGGCAGGGTCAATATTGGTTGCATTGTAAATTCTGTTCCTAAAGATTAAACATCTTGATAAGCCAATGGTGTTTCCACCGGAGAGAGCTACAAGATCTCTCTGGTTCAAGCCCTGGTTCTTGAAGTTGTCGATCAATGCAGGAAGATCCATTGAAGCCGATGGAAGCACACTGTCGGCTAAGGCCCTACTAGCCGTGGTTGAGTCTCTCCTACCCAAACGAACCTTCCATGCTGGACCTCCAAGCTGCAATCATGGTAGTTTTCGTTTAGAAATATTGGTTTTTACATGATAAATATTAGAGGCAATAAAGGACTTTACCGCAACTACGGAATCTCGAGCAGCCACTGCTAAGATATCAGTACAAGAGACCACGGGGCGTCCACAAGCTCTGTCCACTTCAGCCTTAATCTCATCTACAACTTCGAAACCTCTCACAGAATTCAAATTTCCACGTGCATTTTTCTCGGTTTCGAAAGCACGGGTAGAATCCAAAAGAAGTGAACCATCACAGCCCTGCAACACAATGCAGTTGAAGATTTATATGCAAATACTAAAACTTTTCAAAAAATTAATCAAGGATAACATACATTAACGAAGCAATCATGGAAGTGCAAACGAAGCAAAGAAGAACCCATGCGGGGCTCTCTGTGGACAGCAGCCTGCACTATTCTCTTGATGGCAGGCAAAGCTTGGGGACAAACTCTGTCATAAAATTTGGGTGATAAGGAAAAAGCAGTGGTTGCAAGAGCCAACCAAAGAAATGCATGAAGAAGAAAGTTACTACGGGAAGCCATGACAAGTACGCAAGTAGTAGGCTTAATCTCGATGAGGTTTGTGTTGTGTATGTCGAGCATGCGGTCGCGTAATTTATAGATACGTAGGAACTTCATAGAAATACGTGAATTTGTTGGTTTTGGACTTCGCATATCAATGATTAGACCGTTAGACTGTTTCTTTCAGGAGCCTTTTTTTACCATCTCTCAAGGGCCGCCTGGTCAAGCAAAGCTACCACCTCCTTTTTAAGACACACGAGGACGAGGCTGCTAATATATAAAATATGCTGAGATTCGTAGAAATTGCAGTAGAAACATTGTTAATCGCATTGCCTATGTTCCAGTTTTGAACAAAATCAATAAATGATAACAATTGTGATACAAGTTGACGTCAATGTTTAAGGTTTGACCTTCAAAACAATGTGCTAATTGAATAAGGGTATATTACACCAAAGCTCACTGATTTATTTGCAAGATTACAAATGGATCACCAACCTTCTAAAACTTACAAACGAGTCACTCAATCGATTGTAACAAACAGGTCATTGGACCGTGAAACACCATACGAGGTGGGCAATGAATCCTGAATTTCCACCATAAGATTCATCTCAATCTCCCCCATTCAATTCACCATATTAGATTCTCGAGAATCTCACTCAAAAACCTTAAAATCACCTTGCAAAACTTTTAAATTTCTTGAACCTCGATCTACGTTATTGACCACTAGATGACTTCTACCTAGTGATATCCTCCCTCTCACCAACTCCAGTCTCTCTACCATTGGAATCGTCGAATGAATCCCATGATCTTTGAGAAGTCCAAAACTTAAAATGGGTTTTCTTTCTCAATTAATCCAATGTCTCATTTGTGTCTTTCTTAAATTAGGTGACCTAATTGTAATATTACTAAATATTGGGTGAAATATTTGTAATCTTACTAATATTTAGAATGCTGAAGCAAGAAATGAGGAACATTTGGGGCATCTTTGGAGATTCAACATCAAATATTGGGGCATTTTTTGATATTGGGGCATCATTTGGGGATTCAACATCCTAATGCAAATTATCAGACCTTTTTCAGGAGATAAAATATAACCAATTCATGTTACATGCATCTTATGCATACATTTTAGAGCATCATATTTATCATTTTCCACATACATAATTTTTTACAACTTTTAGAGTCAAGTTTCAACTTCAAGACGAAGGATACTCGATTCAAAAGCACCTTAAAGATTCATGTTAGTTGCTTAACTCAGCAGCAAGAAGCTACACTTCGACCAACTCGACAGATTGAAAGTTTCTCTCGAAACAACACAATTTGCTCGAGAGTGGATTTCAACTTCACGACGAAGGATATCTAGCTCGAAGCCAAACTTCACAATAAAGGGGTCTCCACGGTTTCAACTTCACGACGAAGGGAATTGTGTCCACCCGCAACATACAACACTTGGATTTCAACTTCACGACGAAGGATATTCAAGTCAAGGCTCAACTTCACAACGAAGTGGCTATCCGCGATTTCAACTCCACGACGGCGGATATCGTGCCACTTGAGACAACAAGCAGTGTCCCAAGCCTTCCCACTCGCACCGTGGTCCCTTCAACGACAACAAACTTTCACACAAGATGGTTCCGAGTGCTTTATCGACAACATGTAATGGTCCCCCACTCTTGTCATCCACGACAACTGCCAGCACAGACGAGGCCCCTTTGATTACTCCATCAGCATTCATCGTGCACATACTAACAAAAGCAAAAAAGTTGAGATTTTTTATTTTTCATTTGGTAACCACTGTAAATGGGTTATTATAAAACCCCAAAAAAGGATGTATAAAGGTCCTCATTCCCCATTCAAAAAAAATGAGCGAATGCAATTTTCTTCCCCGATTCGAAAAGAAAAGAAAACAATACATTTTTAAGGTATTTTACCTTCTTCTTTTTTTATTTTGATTTGGTCACTTATTTATGTTTGTTTTATTTCAAATTAATATACTGCATTTTATTTTTATTGCATTTGAGTCCCTTTTATTAAATATTGTTATTAAATGTTTAATACGACCTTGCGATGATCCTCCCTGGGGTACAACCCGCATCATTATGGCCAGGATAAAGTTTTAACTTTTTTACTAACTTCTAACTTCTAAATACTTCTAACTTACTAATTTCTAAAAAGCATGAGAACTAATTTACGACCTCGCGATGAACCACCCTTTGGTATGAATCCTGTTATTTACGGTCTTGGTAAAATTCTAAAAATTAGCCCTTTACCTTTTATTTTTGTGTAATTTTATATTTATGCTATTTAAATTTCATCAGTTTAATTTTCTGTTTTTTTTAATTCATGCACTTCATTTTTCTTTATTTTAGTTTAATTCTTTAGTCTTTTATTTCCGGCTTTTAATTTCCTGCAATTTATTTTCAGTCCCTTTATTTTTTATATCAAAACTATATTAAAATAAAGTTTTTTTAGACTGACATTATTTTTTTATCTTAATTAAAATTTAACACAAATAATTATCACTTTGCATAGATTTTATACACATATCATATGAATTCCACCACCAAAATTTAAAATCCACCACTAAAAGATCAAAGCACAACAGACCCTTAGAACAAAATCAATTGTTTTGAATATAAGAGAAAATGAATTCAACACCGAAAACTAATATCAGAAACCTAATTTGGTAGATACTTAGCTCCTAATGTGCACCTTTAATATAAGGTAAACAAATTACGTAATTGGTGATTTTGCAACTCAAACTTTAAAGGATTGGGGATTTAGATGAATAACAAGAGAAAACCATGGTCACCCAACTATTAGAAAATTACAAATAAAAATAATGTAACTCAATCTCAATTTTTTTATTCTAGAACATGAAATGTATATTTTCTTAAAACTGATTTATGATAATATTTTAAAGATCCATGAGTTTTTCACTTTTGATGAAGGTGAGAAGAGTTTGCGAGGAAGGGAGAAGAGTATTTGATCGCTCGTACTCATGGTATTTGTCGATGTTTGAATCTAATACCTCAAGGAATAACAATAATTCTTTTATCACCGAAGTCACAGGAGTTCATGTTTATTATTAATCAAAATTAAAATACATGTTGCGAAGTTGTTAAAAGTGAAACGAGCGTTATAGTTGGTCACTAGAGAATATTTTTAATGTTTTTCTTAGGATTATAAAGTTTTTTTTTCATTTAGATTCAATTTTATCCTAAAAAGTCAATTTGATCATCTTTAAAGAATTACATTACTGTTTAACGTTTCATAAATGAGGTCATCCTATATGGAATTTAATTACTTGATCTAGCCTTATTACGACCGAGGTGGTGAGATCATGCTAAATTGTTGTATTCTTTATATTTGAGTTGTAGTTTTATCTCGTATTCAAATATTTTTATGTTTCTGGTTCCAAGAGGAAACGATTGGCAGGTCTGCTCCTTTAAAAGGCTTTCTCAGGTTAGATTGGATGCCCTTGTGAATGAGAGCTATAGGCTTAAAAGCATTAAGGGTCTGATGAGAAATCATGAAAGAGACATCCTTACTAAGTTCTCCAAGTCTATAGGCTATGTTGATACCGCTTCCATTAAGCTTATGGTGTTAAGGAGGCACATCTAATTTATTAGATTTCAAGTGAGTAGGGTTGTCAAAACTTATTGTTGAGTTTGACTGTAGTAGTTTTGTGACTTAAACCCATCATCGTTTTCAAGCTCTTTTATTTTTTAAAAGTATTATATATGAATGTCTCTGTATTTGTAAAGGGTAGAATTGGATGATTGTTCTGATCGTTGGAGATCATAATAATTTGAATCATCGAATGGGTCCCCCTATCTTTGAGAAGTCCAAAACTCAAAGTGGGTTTTATTTCTTGATTAATCCAGTGTCTCATTTGTGTACTTTTGGAATTAGGTGACCTGATTGTAATCTTACTAATAATTGGGTGTCAGATTTTTAATCTTAGTAATATTTAGATGGCATGTGCTGTAATTTACCAAATGAGAAAATCATCAAGAAAATATTTCCTAACGACAACTTCATTTCATTTTGAACGGGTCAATGACTTGTTCGAGACAATCTATTATTTGAGTGACTAATTTATCAGTTTTTCAAATTAGATAATTAATTTATAAGTGTACTAATAATTGAGTGTCTTCCAAGTGATTCAACCATTAAATAGATACTTGGGTTTCATGGTTCATCCTTAGCCGCTGGAGGCGTCAACTTTTCTTTTACGACCCACTTATTTTTTTTCTTCCTCTTTTACTTATTTGTATATAGGGTTAATATTATGGTATGATCATTACATTTAAGGTGGGGTGAAGACATCTCTATGCATTCGACTGTTGAGGAGGTAGTTCGACACTCGAACAGGAGTTTGGTGAACGAGTGGAGGCATCTTCACCTTGCTGGAAGTAATTGGGAAGTCTTTGTCCCCCTTGCTAAGGCAAAACAATCTCAACGCTCATAATAGCAATAGAGAGCGGAAGCATCCCATCGCTCTTTGTAGAATCCTTTGAGCGGTGACAGAGTGTGAGGCAACTCCTCCCTAATGTAATATCATGAACTATGCGAAGATATCTTAATGATGTCGTGTGGAGACATCCTGATGCCCTATGAATCAGAAATAGAGTTATTCGTATTTTTAGGATGAAGACATCTTGACTCTTTCAATCGGTGTTAGGAAGAGTTCCTTTAATTATATAGGACTAGAGGCATCTCAATGCCCTCGACCAATATAGAGGACAACTCGACATCCTCGGAGGAGTTTGGTGGACAGGATGAGGCATCCCATCACTCTTTGGAGAATCCTTTGAGTGACCGTTGATAGAGTGTGAGACAACTCCTAAATGGTATAATATAACAAATCATACAAAGAAATCTCAACGCTTTCAGGTGGAGGGATCTCGATACCCGAATTGATCATGGAGTTATTCCTACTACCAGGATGTAGGCATCTAAACTCTTTTGGTTGTTGTTAGGAAGAGTTACTTTAATTTTATAGGAGTAGAGGTATCTCAACACTCTTGGACGACAGAGGAGGTAACTCAGCCTACAACGGCACACTGCAAGTTTAGCGAAGGCATCTCCACTTTGTTAGAAGATTCTATAGGTGTGATATAGTCATCTTTTCCTTGGTAAAAACAATTATGTGATATATCTCTTGCTAGTGCAAAGGTATCTCCACCACGTTTGTTAGGGCACAATGGAGAAACTTTTATTGTTAGATCCGAGGCAGCCCAACCCATTTGGTAAATCCTTAAGTTGTAACTGTGGGTTAAGATAACTCTACGCTCAATGAAGGTATCTCGACACTATCAATAGATAATGGAGTCTGGTTGGCTGATGAAAATAAGAAGTTATTTCTTTTTGAATGTAGAGGAGACAGCTCAACGCTCTTAGCTAGAAAAAGAACATCTCAGAACTATGGCTACAAAGTAGAGACGTCTCAACACTATGGTAACATAATAGAGAATAGGTGACTTCTGAAGTTATAGTAGAAGAAATAACATTGAAGGGTTACAATACTTAAACGGAGGAATAAGGACTTTGATCTTTATGTGTATTAAAGATGTTTTAGTACTTCACAGTATGCTAAGAGGTAGTTTTCCCTAACCTTTGTGCAAGGAGCAACTAAGTTTTATTTTAAGTCTTGTCTAGTCTCAAATGTATATAGGCTGATCTTATCTATATTGCAAGCAATTTCATCCTGTCTATCTAAGGCAAATATGAGAACTTAACTAGTGAGTTTTATCTAGACGCATTTTCAATCCGGATAATTAATGGGGAGGCTGCTTCCATGGTCATAAGTTATATGACGGTTAACAAAATTACTTGTATGAGGCATAGTAGGAGAAGTGATGTTGTAAAAGCCATTTCTCTTCCATTATAAGTTAGTCTTCGATTTCTAGGATGTGACTCCTTGTGTATCTTGGGAAGCTTCCTCATCATCTGTATGAGCCTCTCTTGATGCTACCTTTGGAGTTATGATTAGCACATATGTTAGCTTTTGGAGTTTGGTCGTAGCATAAGCTAATTTCTTCATATCATGTGGCCGGTTTGTTCGCCTTCTTTTATCCCCAAACACCACACAATCTAGTCAAGTTATGTCGGAGCCAAGTTTGGGTAAGCCATGAGAACACACTCTATAGGAACGAGTTCTAGAACAATATCATCGACGAATCCTAAGCACCCGTAAGAAGAATCGTTTAAATAATAAAGAGGGTGCATTATGTTGTTACATCATCCCTTTTTCCTTTTATTCTCCTTGTCGTATGCCTTTGTAGCATTGAAGGGTGGGTTGATTTGTTGTTACAATTACAGTCGGGCTGCCCAAGGAGCTCGATGTTGTTAATGGAAATTTTGTAGCACGATATGTGGTTGCTGGCCAGAAAAATCTAATTACATCAGGGGAGATTTTAGGAAGAAGATGAGAGTTTATGTTGGTTATTTTATTCTTGAGGTGCATCTTGATTGATTATTACGTCAAGAGGTGTTTCACATTAATCGCATAAATTGTTGATGGAAACATTAGGGTTGTGGTGATTAATGGCAGTTCATCGTTTCTGATTTGAATAGAGAGCCACAATCGTTGATTCATGGTGGTACTGAATATGATTCTAATCGTATGGTTTCAAAGATTTTGAGAAGGAATGAACTGAAGAGGATAAAGGTGAAGAAATAGAAGAAGACCCTTTATTCAGTCTAGTATAGATGTTTTATAGTGGCTTTTAATGTCCGTGTTAGACTAAGGATCATGATTGCAACTTGTATGTCAATAAGTTGAATGAATATGACACCTAGAGATAAATTTGGTTTTAACAAATCATTTGGGTCTATCAATGGTCATGTTAAAAGAATGTGACTGAAAAGAAAAAATGATTGATCTGAGAGTACGAAAACCCAGAATCTACAATTGATGGAGAAAGATCCTTTAGATACCTCTTTTTACTTTGAAGACTTCAGTTGTTAGAAAAGTTATTGGTGGAGGAATCCTATATAATAATATCATTTAATCAATAATTACAATATAATGAATTATACCATTAAATATAATTATTAATTGATTCATATCATCACTCTTTAAGAGACTATAATTAATAAGATTTCATGTACCTTTAATGAATGTTTTTCGTTTATCACAATAATCATATTTTTGTTCGTTATATTATACTTATCTCAAGAATTACGTTTTAGAAAGTGTAAATCTCAAATGTTAAAGGAATTGTTGTCATTTCTAGAGGTCATGGTTCGAGCATCAGCAATTGTAAGGATGATTGAGCTTTTATTGTCAAATGGTTGAGAGTACTTAAAATATATACTATTTTGTAATCACTTTTAGCTTAATAAAAAATATAAAAAATGAGAGAAAAAAAAGAGGATATAAAAAAGGAAAGGTCAAGATGGTTTTAGTTGGCCGTTACAAAATATGCAATCCAAAGACATTGCAAGGGCCATAAAATCATGAATGTTAGTAGATGGCATAATGAAGCATCCATATCATACATCGGACATCCACAATCAATTGTCAGGACAAAACCAAATTGAAAAAAAGGCAACAGAGGACAAAGAGATTGGGAAAGTAGTTGAAAAGGAGGCACACACTACAAGAAAATATACTTTTAATGACACACGAACGATGACACACACTAATTTATGACTTGCAAAAAATGTGTTTCATAAACAAAATGCCATGTTTTTTAAAATCTGAACGATTTATTACTTACAATATTGTGTGTCATATTTAATAGTCATAATCCAAAAATTTTGCAAAAACACAGAGTACACTTATAATTGTGTGTCATCTGTAAAAATCGTCTTTTAATTTCCCCCATTATTTTCATCATTTCTCGCTTCTTCCCCCCTCGATTCATTGTTCGCACCTTCCCAAATGCTCCGATTCATTATTCACAATTCTTATGTTGGTAAGTAAAACCAAAACTCTTTGATTCTTTCAACCTACTTGAACATAAGTTCATGCATCACATATTTTCATTGCAGCAATAACGATGTTCTTCGGGATTACTTTCCCGTTCTTCGGTGGTCTTCTCGGTTTTCTTCGGAGGACTCGCGTTTGCACCAACAACATACTTCGTAATCTGGGTTCTTTTAGTTTTGACGCACTTTCAATTTGTTAGTTGTTTTCTTCTTTTGAATGCACAAAAAATTCTGGGAAATCTATATTTTTCTGTTTGGGATTGAGGAAAAGTTTTAACTTGAATATCAATTAGCTTGAATCACAATATGTTGCTGATTTAGTTGTGTTGTTTTCTGTTGCACGAGAAAAGTTATTGATTTATAAGTTTAAGTCCCATGTTTGTGTGTGTTGTTGGTTTTCAATTTGTTGGTTTTCTTCTTTTGAATGCATGCAAATTATGGGGAATCTGCATTTTTTTGTTTGGGATTGAGGGAAAGTCTTGACTATCAATTATTGAACCACAATATATTGCTGATTTAGTTGTGTTGTTCTATTTTACGTGAGCAAAGTTATTAGCTTATAAGTTTTAGTCCCATGCTTGTTTGTGTTCTGATTTTCAATTTGTTTGTTGTTTCTTCTTTGAATGCATGCAAAATTCTGGGGAATATGCATTTTTCTGTTTGGATTGAGGATAAGTCTTAACTTGACTATCAATTAGCTTGAATCCAACTTATTTTGTTGTTTTTCTTACACGAGCATAGTTATGAACTTCCATGTATTGTTGATTTTCAATTTGCTAGTTTAGATTTATTGCTAGATGTTACATGCTTAACCATAATATAAATGTATGTATGTATATGATATTGTTTACATGCTTAGGTGCAGTGGCAACAAAAGTGTCACCTGTGGAAAAAGAAACCCCTATGGAGAAATCAAAAGAGGACTTGTTGTCAGTTACATCTTCAAAGGAATGGGATGAAAAAGTAGGTTTTGATATCAATGAAAACGAGTCGACTATCAGAATCACGGTGGTCGGAGCTTCCGGGGATCTTACGAAAAAGAATATATTCCCTGCACTTTTTGCACTTTATTATGAAGGTTGTCTTCCTGAGGTCTGTTTCACATTAGTATCGTCTTCTAAACTACTTGAAACTTTGATCCGGAGATTGATGTAACTTAATTTGTGCTCGAAAAAATGTGGGTTAATTTTGTTGCAGCACTTTACCATCTATGGATATTCGAGGAGTAAGATGACTGATGCGGAAATAAGGAATATGGTGAGCAAGACCCTTACTTGTAGGATCGATAAAACGTGAACTGTTTTCCTATCTTTTGTTTGCAACTTCAAGTTCATAGGCATCCGATTGCAGATTTCATTGTTTGTTTCTTTTAATTGATTATTGAACTTATAAATGGGTGTGATATGTAAATCCAGGGAGAATTGTAGTGAAAAGATGGAAGAATTTCTTAAAAGATGTTTCTACCACTCTGGTCAGTATGATTCCGGGGAAAATTTTGCACAGTTGGACAAGAAGCTCAAGGAGCATGAGGTAATGAATTTTTGATCCGGTTAACGGGAATAGTGAGCTAATTCCGACTTGTTATTTATAATCTCTTTACAATTGAATGTATTTGTGGATATTGAGGGTTTCAAGTTTCAACCATTTTTTAGTTATGGGCCATACAATGGTATTTTAAGTGCAAGTGTTCTTCAAAATCTAGTACCATAGGGGATTCGGCACACACCTTATTTATAATGTGAAAATTCAGTTGTTTTTTATGACGATAAATTGCTTGTCCAGGGCAGGAGGGTTTCTAATCGCCTCTTTTATCTCTCTATCCCTCCAAAAAATTTTATCGATGCCGTAAAATGTACAATCTCTGTAAGAGGCTTCTCTATTTATAGATGATCCTTTATGTTTTATCCATGCAGGATAGTATGAAAGAGATCTCTTTTACTCACAATTATGGGCCTGCATTGAGTCGATACATGGTGCTTTAAATTTGATCTTTTGTTTTGTAGCTAAGTATGAAAGAGATGCTAAGAAGTATTGGGATCAGTTCTACAGGCAACATCAAGATAAAGTTAGTCCTCTTGCAGTTTTGTTTAAGTTGTTTTCATCCCTTTTTATATCTACTAAGGTCATTGTTGAGACGTTGTGTTATTACTTAAATGCACTACATCTACTCCCCAAACCCAGATTTTGGACTGGCTGTTAAATAATTTTAAATGCTATAATAGATACCTAAGGTTGTGGATCGAATGTTACTAAATTTCGGTTTAGTCTTTGTACTAGCAATGGTTGTGACAAACAACAAGGTTCTTTTTGGGATCACTTCGAAAAGCTGCAACTTATATAGAACCACTGCTACAGGAATTTTATTATGTTCTTTGGTATAGTGATTTTGAAATTGTTTAATTCCTATTGTTTCAGTTTTTTAAAGATCGGCACTACCTGGACAAGGAATCAGATCAATATTTCTCTATGAGTCGAAGCTAACTATTTTAATCTCTTTGTTTTTGATTTTTTAATTCTTCAAGGTTATTTGTTTCCTTTTTTAACTATTTTTTTTATTAAATCAGAGAAGCGGAAGAAAAGTTATTTTGGAGGTAAATCACTTGACATTTTCACTTACGTATTATCCATTCAATATCTATTTTGTGGTAAATAAATAGACTGTCTACTAATACTATTTTCCTGAGTTTGAATCCACAATAAATTCTCTGTTAATGCTAGGTTATTTGGAAATGGACTTGTTTTAATTGAGTTCGAGTAAATGAGAATAGTGCTAACATTTCTGCTTTCCCTATGAATTCTTATTTTATTCCTCTAAATGGTCTGGTAATCTTATTCAAGATGCCTTTATTGTTGAAGTGAATGGTGTGGCAAACCTTGTTGAATGTTGGTCACTATATATGGTAGAACTTGACTTTATTGTTCCTTATAGTGTGTGTTAAGTAGTTCCCCTTCTTGTCTAAGGTTCTTAAATTCTCATGTAAGGTTTCTATATATTATAGAACTAATGTGACCTTGGTAATCAGGTTGGCTGTGGTGCTGGAAATGTTGTATTCCCTCTAATTGCTACATACCCAGAGGTTGATCTATGCTATTCCGAGACTTTGCTGTTGGTGACCTTGCTCAGGTTGATCTATGCACATATTGTTTAGCACCATTTTAGTAAAATTAATGTGCTAAGATCTTATAATATGTTCGTATCTTCTTGTGATAACCTGAGAACATTCTTGGTGTTTTGTTTTCAAATAGCCATAGGTGATGAATATTATGTTTGTAACTTAATGTGAATATATTGTATGCAAATAGATTGCTTATATATAATATGATATATATATTTAGAATTATGTTGCATTAAATGTGATTTAGTTTGATTATTTGTCAATCTACAATATATACATATATAGCAATAATTTACGAAATACAATCACGACACACGAATGTGTGTCATCTTTTTTAATGGCGTGTGCTTCAATGACACGCAATATAAGTCATACATGCGTGTCATAAATTTATAACACACAAATGTATGTCATCTTAATTTATGACGGGGGCTTCAATGACGCGCAATAAACATCATAAATGTGCGTCATAAAATGCGTGTCATAAATGCGCGTCATAAATTCATTACGTACAATTGCGTGTTATCTTAGATTCATATCGGTGGCTTCAACGACAGTCATTTATGTGTCATTCGCACTCATAAATGACGCGCAATGCAAGTCATTAAAAGAGTTTATTCTAATAGTGACAAAGCAGCAGAGAACTGAGTGCGCCACCACCACCACTGCCCAAATCCCCATATGCTATTATAAGTCAGTCAACACATACAAAAAGCTATACACTATGGTACCTTGCAGTGTGCTTTCGCCCGCCTACTTTTACATTGAAGTCTTTCTAGTCCTTGAGGATAACGACTAAAGAGATGTTATGGGCATCTTCATGCATCTACGGATCGAGAGGTGTTGATGGAATTTAATAATAGAGTTTGGGAGGTCAACTTAAAACTTTTAAAAAAAATAAAAATTTACTTTAAATTTTGTAAAAATTTTAAAGGATTCAGTTTATATTTTTTTCAAAAAAATTGAGATTTAACTATTTTTTTTTTGAAATATTATAAATTTTTAAACAAAATTTGGGAGGAGAAATTAAATATTTTAAAATTTTAATGGTCTAAAGTATAATTTTTCAAACTTTTGGGGGGAGACATGACTCTCACTAGTCTTCATTGTGTTCCTCCATTGGTGCAGTCTTATCCACTAAAAATTTTAATTTTTTTATATTTTAGGTTTTATTTTATATTTTTTAATGATTATTTAATTTCGCATATTGTAAAATTTTATAATTTCACACATCTTAAAATTTTTAATATAAATTTTTAATTTTACGCCTTTGATATAAATTCATGTGTTTGTCTGTTTGCCTTAGAATTGCTCACTGCGCATAAATACCCTATACTTTTTTTGGGATTGGTTCTTTTAACTTTAACCTTCGTGTATATGAAGCCAACTTTTAGTTGCAAGTCAATAATTGAAAAGTTGTAGGAAAAAAATCTTAAAAAAAGAAAAGATAAATGACGTAGATAGCATTGTTTACTATCTGCGTAATGATATGGCCATTCATCTGAAATTTAAGGAAGTTTGAATAAAAATATCAAACTTAAAATATAGACTACGATGAAAATATTTGACCCATTTTAAATATATGTTAAATTTAAACTCTAACATTTAAGGTTCGAATCTGACCCGTTTTTATGTTTATAATATATTATATCATTTTTATGATATCTTTATATATATTATATGTTTTACATAAATATTATTCCCTACGTCCCATTTAAACTGTTTCTTGTTTATTTTTCCCCTCAATTTTTTCAACTTTAACTCATTTTTATTTAAATTTTATAATTGATAAAAATATGAAAACTATATTTTAAAAACCTTCAATCAAGTAGATTTGAAATATATATTTATAAAATTTTGAAACAACCCGAAAATTAGAAAAAAATAATTTAATTGCATAAATTGTTGAAAATTGGGGACTAAATTGAAAGTTTTTAAAATTTGTAGTCTATTTTAGAGTTGAAGAAACTTTAGGTAACAAACTCTGAATTAA